TACATGTTATTCTTATTACAAATGGTCAAGACCACGAATGCCAACTTTTTTTTGGAAAAAACTGTCCATTTAGTCAACAATACGTAAGTACGGTATGGGGCCAGACAATCAACGTTAAACAGCAAAATCAGCGCCATCGTGGCATTTCTAAATTCTCCTGGCTGCGACTGCAAAAAAAAACTTTTAATAAAATACTACTTTTAACCCAAGCCTGTTCCAAAGCAACCTCCGCCAAAACGGAAACGCCCGTGATGGAGAAAACGCAGCTGTGATAGCAGCGGGTGCCCTACAAGATAAACTGGCTTTGGAAGAAATCACACTCGAAAACAAAGTCTAAAATTAGGACTCATCATCCACTACAATCAAGTTGGAAAACGCTAGATCTCAAGATTATTTCAGGCCTTAAAATTTAAAAGCAGAAAAAAAATTCATTCTGGAATTCGGCACGTGAAAATAACAAAATTTATTTCAAAGACATGGCGCAAATGCGAGAGGTGCAGACAAAAAAGTGAAAAGTGTTATCTGTGAGAGATACAAATTGTTCAAAAGAGCACAGGAGTCAGGTGAAGTGTTAGTGGCAGTTTATGCCGTAATGAACGCGCAAGCAGTAGGATCAGAACTAGGGGTGTTAGAAAACAAATAGGTCAAGGATTTATACATCTTAAAAAGATGTGGAAAACGTTTTAGACACTATCAGCCAAAGATGCGCTCAAACGAGCAAAAAACAATTGAAAAGAAAAAACAATCAAAACAAAGGCTTTTCGGTCAAAAACAGTCAGCGGGCACAACTGTGAATTATGCTAAGAAGCATTTTAGATTGCATCTATACAACTCAGTCGGTGAGCTCAAAACGAAAAACTTATCCAAAAGTCGAGAAGTTATCAAAAATGAGAAAAGATAAAACCTAAAAAGAGAGGTGCGAATCAACTAAATCAAGAAGGTAGCGATAAAGGAAATCAAACGGAAAAAGAAATGATTAAAACCACGTGAAGAAAGAAGAAATTTTGAAAGCAGAGGAAAAAAATTAGATCTAATTGGAAAGTGCAATGTCGAACATACCTCGAACAGGTTTAAATAAACAGAAAACAAAAAAGGAAATCCAAAACAAAAAATGCTACCCACTTCAGTTTTGGAGTCTGAGAGCTGAAAGCTTGAGAGACGCTCCAAGAAGCATGACGGAACCCGAAGCCATGAGATATGACCTTTGGTCTGTACTCATAGAGTAATTTCAGATAAGGTACACCGTCTGTTCGTCACGCTAGCTTATTTTCGGCCGGATAGATTTGTGCAACTTCTTAGTCTAAAACCAATCTTAATCTTACTCTTATATCTCCTAGTCTCAAAAGTTCTAGTGTATACTGGTTTATGCGAGTTAGTTCTTGGAGTTTATCCAGAAGGAGAACAAATCTAATCAAAATTTTATTGAAACTGTTCTGGTGCTGAAACTGCAGGTAGTTTCAGCACTTACAAATAAGTGTCAATGTTATTGATGGAACATGATTAGTTATTTAGTAGTATTTTATAGTGATAGTTTTATCAATAATATAATTGTATTTACATCCAATTATAAATTCTAGTTTAGAACTGGTTCCAGCCAGATCATACAAAATAATCCTTGGGAACAGAGCTGCTGAGAAATAATCCAAAGTTGGACCAGGATACAAAACTGAATAAGGAGCTCACAGTACAGGATGAGTGGAAGCCCACAAAAGAGCTTAATTGACCCGAGGAAGAAGGTCATCATCTATCCAGAAAAGGCAGTTTCCAACTGTCAGAGCAGTCGGCAGAATTGCGTCGACTGAACCCATCGAGTACATTTGACAAAAGTTTACTGACAGAACTGATATATGCAGACACATAGATGGATCGCGTCGTAGAACGGGGGGGGGGACGAGGGGACCCGAGAAAAGCGTTGACGATAAGAGTATACTGTGGACACCCCGACCAAGCGGCAATTTTGGATGTGTCAAACTAAGTGTGAAGGTGGTTGCGCATGCATGAGGACATAAAGTTATTGTGAACCTAGCGGATGAAGGCAGAAGTTGCAGTACTTATGGTAACAAGTATAAGTATATTAGGCTAAATATATTATGCCTAACAACTCCACAAAGTCTTTACCAGTGTTTACCATGCCGCAAAGAACGCTACCCCAAGAATAGTGAAAAAGACAGAAGAGAACAATCCAGAACTTAGAAAAGAGTTGTGATATTCATGGGATAAAAGATTTATCGAAGACAAAGAGGACGTTCAGAAAGTAGAACTGACACAGAACCTACTCAAGAAGGACGAGCAGAGGAAGAGCGGCAAAACTCATATAAATCCCCCGTTTTTAGGCACTTTTTGGAAAATTGTCACCAAAAAAATTGCGTTTTTTCGGCGCGCGCTCCCCCCTCAAAACGAGTATATATTGGCGCCAAAGGCGGCGCCCTAAGAAAAATTTTACGGTCCGTGCCAAAAATGGATATCTCAAAATAGTACAAAGGTGGGACCCTTTGGGTCGGCAGGGGGTCGAATCCCTGAGGGGGGGGGGGGCGTTGAGCAAATCATTTTTTAAGGATGCAGATAAAATCCAAAGGCAAATTCGGGTTTGAGCGTGAACAGTACCAAAAACTTGATCAAACAGAATCGAAAAAATACCACAAAAAAAAACGAAATGACACAAAGTAAACAATTGTCGCAACTACTTTGATTGGCGCTTAAAACTCAAGCGCCAACAAATTAAAGATTGCGATATTTTTTCCGAAAACATTACGACATAATCAATAGAAAGTTAACTTTGCTCATCAACGCTTCAGGGGACCAACAAACAATCACTCAGCTGCTGTTGCAACTCTGCTAATAAAATACATCGAATCTGTTCGCACGTAATAGTGGAAAACTTCTTCAACCTCGAGCACGTAATAGTATATTAAGCGGGGAACCCTGATTCACGCGCAATATTCCTATCGTGCCGAATGTAAGCGCAGCAGAGCAAGCGAATTCTACTTGCCAACGCCTTGTTACGAATTGTCGCTTGCTGTTCCGACCATTTGAAAATACCATTTGAGCATTATACGAGAAACTTCTTTAAAAACTACCCCACCCAGGTTCGAACCCTCTTATTTCGCTGCGGTTCTCCTTCCCTACCTCTACGCTACATATCCATGATACCTTGAAGATGATAGAATGCTATGTAAAATATTAATCTGTGCTAATATCCTTAGCATTGGCTCTACTTATCAGCTGGTTATTGATCTAAATGAACACACTTTGTCGCAACAATATTTGCGACTAAGGTCGGGAAATAAGAGCTCATATTATAACACAAATTTTTCTCGTGCAAACAGCACAACTTCTAAGTTTAAAACTGAAAGCTCAAGGCAACTAACTTCGCTGAATTCAAATCTCATAAAAAATTTTAAATATTTCAAATGTCGCTCTTTTTCTGAACGTTCTTGTTCCTTCTGTTTCTCTAGAAAGTTCATAACTGTCCCCTTTTAGATACCTTAACCTTTCCGTTTCTTATCTTATCTTAGTGTTGTTGCCAGGTACGTGCATACAGACGAGGACATTGGCGCCCAACTACGACGAAAACTAACCTACGATATTTTTGTATTTCGACTGTTATTTGTTTTTTTTTGTGTGATAAATTTGTTAATTCGTTGGATTGCTTTGCGTTACTGGAACCTACTGGATTTCTTCGGACCTCCACACCGAACTATTAGTTAGAAATACATTATTGTTTTGTTTTGTTAAATATAATGGCTGTTATGAGATCACAATGTGTACGTGCATACAGACGAGGACATTGGCGCCCAACTACGACGAAAACTAACCTACGATATTTTTGTATTTCGACTGTTATTTGTTTTTTTTTGTGTGATAAATTTGTTAATTCGTTGGATTGCTTTGCGTTACTGGAACCTACTGGATTTCTTCGGACCTCCACACCGAACTATTAGTTAGAAATACATTATTGTTTTGTTTTGTTAAATATAATGGCTGTTATGAGATCACAATGTTCAAAAATGAACTCAAATAGAAATGTCACTGAAAGTAATTTTGAAACCGCATTACTAGTTGATACTCATTTGAAAATGAAATAAAGTGATTCAGACAGGTTATTTAATACAATTAATGGTTTAATTACAAATATTGACAAGCTTGAAGTAGTTGAAAGTCTGATGACAGATCTAGATACTATTATTACGCCCCTGAACGATATTGTTAATAATTTAATGAGCGGACGTAAGGAAAAAAAAGCAACAACTGTTACTCACTCGATTGAAAAGTAGTGGGCTATAGGAAGCACCAGATTGATTCAGTGTCGAGAAAAACCCGTTGGAATTTTTTGATCTTATTTCGAACTAATATATTGTGAGCGTGCAGGCTTTTAATAGCTTATTTTAGCTTACTTTAATCCGTGAAAACTTAGTTGTACTCAAATAAAAGTACTTTTAATTTTTTAGCGCCATTTTGTACACGAAGGCTAAAAATTCCAAAAATTTCTGCAATTTTTTTTTCCTTTTTCCTAGTCAATTTTATTCAAAACCTGTTTTCCGAATAGTCCTTTTACTATGACTGTCAAATATGCCTCAGTTCTTTTTTTCGTTCAGATCTTTTCATCACACCATGCGGAAAAAAACGACACTAATCTGAAAAAAAAAACGTTGTATTTTCTAAGACTGTGGTCGGAACATTCTGTACTACTTGCAGTAACCGGCTATACTGTTTACGAATAGTCTCCTGTTACGAATTGTCGCCCTACATTTAACATCAACACGTAGGAAAACACTTTCAAGTAAACTTTCAATTGTTTGATTGTAAAATTATTAAATTAAACTGTGTGTATGATAAAAATTTGAAAGAAAAGCATTTAGTTATTGAAAAGCATTCCAATTCTTATGACGCGGTTTAACAATCATGGCGGTTCGTTCTTCAATCCATTTGGCTTTTAATGGATGGGACAACACAAAAAAAATCTTTTTAACGTCCAGATAAAGACAGCTTGGATAAAAATACGTTTAAAATGACCTGTTTATCAGCGCGGCGCAAGAATTGGATATAGCTCTCATTTCTTTGGGAGAACATTTACGTATATATAGAAAAATTAATTGAAGTAAATTAATATGAAAAAAGTCGAAGACTAGGCACATTGATTTTTATAGTAGCCAATTCAGTCTATTATTGCAAACGATCTCCCATAACTGAAGCTAAATATTGTTTTCAAGTTTTGGAAAAGCTCGTTAATCCAGTTCAATAATTGTTTCAATAAAGGCCATGCGAGCGAATGTTTCTATAATAATTCATCTACTGTTTAAATGCTATCTGCTACTTTATTCGCAACCGATAAGTTCAATTGAGGTGTCGAAATTCTCACTGGCGTCACTTCAGACTGAGTGACCCCCACCACCCCAATTACCCCGGAAGAAGACGACGTTGAGATGGGGGTAGATGATGATACTTCTGTGGTGGGGGAAGGGATCTCTGTTCCCAGTGGTACTGTATTAGGGGTGGTGGTTACCCTTCGACCTTGGCCCTCTTTCTCCCCCTTTTGGGGGGCTGTTTGTTGTTGTTGAGCGCTGTTGTGAGACTGTGTTGACGCCTTCATCTGCTGCTGCTGATACTTGCGCGCTATTTCCGTCTGTCTCAACTGCAACAGAAGAATTATGCATGCACAAACATTTACAAATGATATGTTAACAAGTTCACAGTTGAAGAATGTTTTTCGGCATTTTGGTTTTGATTTCACGGTTTTCTTGCTGTGATGAGTGAAAAATCAAAAGGTCAATACTCACGGCTTCAATGGTAGCTAGCAGTTGCAAGTTGGCAGCTCGGATATCATACTAAAACATACCAGATTCTAAGTTTTCCAATGAAAGATTCAAATAAGCTTCAAGTTTTAAACTCCTAGATTAAAATCCACTTACGGTACATGAAGGATACACGGCTTCTTACAAAGAAAAAAATATTGCTTCGTAATTATGCATAACTTCAACCATGCATATTGCAATTTGCTTCAAATAAAGCCTTTACTCTATTTTCGGGGTTCGCTATACATTAGGCTATTAGGCTTAACGATTGTTAGCAACACATTAGGCTATGACTTTCAATCTAACTCGAACGTGAAAGATACTCGAACATTCATCTGATAGCCTTCTCACTTGTCTAAATTGGCTCTAGTTAACAACAACCGATTTAAACCATCATAGCCTAGTTGTATCATTTCAGCTAAGAACAATTGATTCTATAAAATGACTTTGTTGTAGTGTAAGCCCATTTTGAATCGGTACAACTGGTTTTTAAAAAGATGTCAAAGATGTTCCCAGTCAAAACTGCAATTCTTTGACACTTCTACCCAAACTTTTAATCATTTATAACTAAGCTCTGATCTGATGCAAAAAATGTGTTGCAATCACCTGTATCGAAACTGAAGTTCATTACATGGAAAAGAAGATTTGTTAATATTGATGTGCAGGTTCAGGTGTACATACTCTAGGGCAGAAGAGTGGGTTGTGCCTGAAGTAGTATGCCCTCCAGAGCTTCATGGCCCTAGTGGACACTGAGGGCAGAAGGGCCCCCTTATTCCTGCTGAAATTCCGGTTGAATAGTGGGTTCAACAGCCCCCTCCTCTCTTCCTCGTCAAACAACAAATCCGTCCAGATCGACTTGCTCTTCTCGCCCACATTATGCTAATCACAAAATAACACTTTTTTCTAGAGTTTTGGCCTCAACTTGCAGTGTTAATTAATTGTTTGCTCTGTATTAGCCAGCTAACTATCCATTTTTGAGCACTTTATGAAACGTTTCGATCAAAATCACGTTTTTCCAGAGCGCACTCCGTGCTCAAATTCAGTGTGCATTGGCAGCGAAGGCGAATTTAGACAATTTTTGGGCTGGTTGGCCAAAACAGGAGGTTGAAAAACAGTTCCACGAAATGAGGATGGTCGAATAACTTACGCTTTGTCGTTCCTTGTCGCTGGAGTAGAGGAATGTTCCATACTGGTTGCTGTAGAAACCGTCCAGTATCTTAATGAGGAACAGCTGGTTGAACTCGAACGCGAGTGTGAACTGGGAGTGCATCTGCCACACACACTCTATGAACTGGAGGAAGATGGGCGACTCCTCCTTCTCCAGACTCTGTCTGCACGTTCCATTTCTCTATAACAACAGTTGGACGGACAAAATCGGCCTTCCTCCAGCTTACTTTTTAAACCTGCTGCTATTCATCGAAGTCTTCCGAAGACACGCAATCAAACCATTGGTAAACTACATTGATGAAAGAAGCAAAAACCACAAACAAAAAATTGCGAAAACACATACAATCAATAACCCAAAAAAAATCGAATACAAAAAACTAATAAAAACAGCTGATTGAACAAAAAAGCAGAAAAGGTTGAAACCAACGTTATTGTGCAAACTTAAAACAAAAATATATATTTTTTAATAAAAAAAATCGAACATTTAATTTTTTTTTTCCTTTTCAAGTTTCACTTTTATTACGAAGGGTCTAGGAAAAAGATTTAGATTTGCCCAGAACATTTTGTAAGACTTCAACCATTCTTATAAAACCCAACAAAAAATAATTCAAAAAATCATTTGGAAAATGAGCCGACGGAATTAAAGCCGACACTCAAAAGCCAAAAAATACCGAAATTATTTGGCACAAAAATACTTCAAATGAACCCATGACAGGCACACAAGGCATATACCTAACATGAGCATACTGAATTTACCTCTGCAGTAAAACACGAGCGAATTCAATCCACGCGCGAATTCTGTGGATAAAGTTGTTTACGGGAAAAAAAGTCTAGTAACCGGTTGTAATACCCTTACTTATCGCAAGGGTAACCACATATCATATTTTTCTATATAGTTCATTTCAAACAAAATAGAACGAAGGATTTAAGATCGGTTATTGGCAGGCAGTAAGGATTTATTTATAAAGGTAGTTTTACGACAAACCTAAATTAAGTCACAAATACAAAGAGAATTACATACAAGAAGCGAGTCAATTTGGAAGTAAAATCAATAGATTCAACTAAATATCTCATCAAACCCAGAAACCTCCCTCGCGTTTCCAAAACTTGTGCCTGTTCACCTATTTGAAATTTCAAGTAGTTTCTCAATTCAAAAATGCGTAAAGAAATTCATATGCAACACATCTGATATTGAGTAATACTTGAGAACTTGAAAAAATGAGTTATTGAAAATGGAACCTGATCTAAACTATATTTTATGATTGGATAAATTAAATGTTTTACCAATGTAAAGTATTTAATATTAACCAATCATGATCCATCTAACTAACAACCCACTTATTTGTAAGTGCTGAAGTTACTTGTAATTTCAGCACCAGAGAGATTTGAATTTAACTTAGAAATTAGTTGGACTCTCCCGAGCACTTCAGCAGCCGCAATAAACCAGTATACCCTAGATCTATTGAGCCTAGCAGAGACTAGTTAAACAACCTGAGACTAGATAGTATAAGAGTAAGATTAGGATCGGTATTAGACTAAGAAGTTGCACGAATCTATCCGGCCGAAAATAAGATAGCGTGACGAGCAGACGGTGTACCCTATCCGAAATTACTCTATGAGTTATACACCCCTGTCATAACTCATCTGGTGCGACCATAAGTCTCGAACAAGACCTTACTAGATTAGAATTAACCAAAAATAGATTAGAAATTAGACAAAAACATTTACAAAATGTTATACGACAATAATTTAATTGAAATGTCTCTCCGACTCAATAGATCAGAGCCAATATTCCGAACCATAATAGAACTACCCGGAATTGGAAGAAGACATCGAACCAAAGACGACATACGACAAAGTAGAAACTTGCCGTATAGTTATATGATAGTTCGGCAAAAGCCAGAACAAACTTTTATATTTCGAATACTACTTGCAATGAATTTAGATTTCCATTTGCAAACATAAAACCTTGAAGTTACTCTTCAAAATCATTTCAGGCGCTAAACAAAATTAATATTATACAATAACGATTGATAAAAAGATCTAAGATCGTTTTCTTAAAATTCTGCAGTATTATACAAAACATGTTTGAAAAATATTTATTGGAAAATAAAAATAAAAATTAGTAGCATGACAATAAATGGTTAGTAATCATAAATCATCTTGTTGTTCCAGCTTCATCACCTAAAACATAACAGCAATCATAAACCCACTAATATCATAAAAACACTAAATCTTTCCTTTACACAAATTTAAAACTTTATTAAAACTTAAAGTCACTTAATTTTAAAACCAGATCATCAAGGCTTATCCTTGGATCTTAAATCATTTTCTACTTAATTAAATTTTAAATTTGATCATCAAGGCTTATCCTTGGATCAAACAGAACAACTTTGTTCTCCCCCACCCACTTAATTAGTGTCTAACGACCTCAAACGTCGATTCACTACCCAACCCTTTCTAAAAACCCAGGACTAATAGAAATTTTTACACAAAACTAATCATTCAAATTAGGATAAACAGTGAAGAACTTCGGTTATTCATCCTTCACTTGACCCCCCCTCTTACCAGACCCAGGATAAATCTTAGACTTAGTAAGTTTAAAATAGTACCTAACGAACTACTCGCGTTCTAATTATACCTGAACCTTGTGGATCGATTTACTATTCTCCAACCCTTGAACACAATCATTACCCCTAAGTAAGATTAAGTAAGTTAACACCTTAGCTTATACTAGTCACGAGAAAGTAAAAATCATTCTTCGGAATCGATATACTTTTCTCTCCAACCCTGAACAAATAGACCCAGGTTAAGCTAACCAAAAAATCGTAAGAACTAACAGTTTAGGAAAATAGAAATCATTTAACAACCTTTGCATCCATCATTCTAAACCTTATGTCATTTAAAAACCTAGGAAATAAACAAACAATCATTTTACACAATTGTGAAATAGACAACAAAAAATACGACCTTGTAATCACACCTCATACACAAACAGTTGGATACATTCGCACAAAACGACAAACACTAAAGAGAAAAATAATAACTAAACAAAGACAAATAACACGAAAAAGATTTTCAAAAAATCGAAACGCATTTTCAGAATCAGAAACCAACAGTTTAGACGAACTTTACAAACTAAAAGAATCAATAGATAAAAATTACCCACTTCACGATCAATTATATTTTTCTGACTCAGAAACAACTTCAAATTCATCACAAAGAGGAAAAAGAAGAATAAAAAAACAGTACAAACAAAAACCAGTACATCTATACAATTGGAATCAACCAATTCGACATATTAATAATTACATATTAACAGTCATCGAACGAAAAAATGAGTTCAACACACACCCCAGGTGACGAAACTCCAGATGATGATGAAATCTTTCCTTTTATAGTAGACGCAGATACTGATAGAGGACAACACATATTTTGTCAAAATTTACTCGTAAATTTATTTGAACCCGGAATCAGTCCATGTAAAACAGAGTTCCCCGATGTAAAAATCAAAAGACAAATCATAGATCACTATCTAAAAGATATATGTAACATAACACAACAGTATGGAATCTACTCTATAGAATTCACTTCCCCAAACCATAATAATAGAACATATACTATTCAAACAGACGATCTTGATTTAGAATTTTCAAAAGTTTTTTCAGAATATATAAAAAGCATCCAATACCATAACTCACAAAGAGCAAACTCCATTTTCACCAATGAAGTTTTCGCAATAATATATAGTTATATTTCGATATTAGAAAATGAACTCCCATTAACAAATGTCTCACCGACAGAAACATCTAAACATTTAAGAGTACGACATGAAATCACACTACTCTCTAGTTATTTAAACATCATTAAAGAAAATTTCACGAAAGACGACGTTTCACAACATACCAAACACGATTTACAAAAAATTTTGGCATGGTTCATAATAGATTATTTCACACACAATATTGATTTAATTGCACAAGCAAGAAAAAATTTTAGACCCCAAAATTCGAACGATGATACCGCTATCACAGAACAATCAGATTATGTTTGGGACCCCGAATGGTCTCATCCCGCATTTATAAACTTTCCACAATCAATCTCAAGTCAAGCAATAGGTACAATATCTTACATAAGAGATTATGTAAGAGTAATACCATTAACAATTGATGCAACACCATTAAACTATAATACATTTTTACCTGATACACAAAATAATAGTTTAAACTCTACAGTCATACACAATGAAAACCTCAATGGAACTAGGAATCTTACTCAACAAGATATCCAGACACCATCACACTTCATAAATGAAGAAATTGTACACACAACAACTACACAACAAAGTATTTCACCAATACGCCCAAATTTAACAACACCAAGAAATACAAATCCTTCACAAACACAGGTAACCTTACAATCAACCGTAAAACCTTCGGTTGCTCCAAAATATTCACATATGGATTACCAAACATACAGACCCATGACAATACCATCAAAAACACGCAAAACATTCACTAGAAACAACTTTGCAGACCATAATTATAATTATACACATCCGTCAAAAACAAATTATCAACCACAAAGAAATTTTAATCAATATACAAAACCTCGAAACTGGGATAACCCAACGGCCCAATATAATTCGAAAAATTTTCAACCAAATCCTCCACAGGATCGCAGTGAAAATTACCCATTTTTTCAACAAAATAAAAATAAAAAACAAACATCTTATCAAATGGATTATTTATCCTCAGATGAAGATTTCTTACAACCAGATATATTTGCACCAAATACTCAAGAATATCGTAGACAAGGAATACAGAAAACACGTACAAATCATAGAAATTTTTCTCCACAATCAATAGATGCACAATATCAACAACCAATTCAACAACAAAATCCAATTAATATACAATCTTTTCAACCAATTCAACAACAAAACCCAATGACTACACACTCGTATCAACCATCACAAATGCAAAACGAAATACCACTCCCATATTATCTCCAACAACATGAAATAACAAGAAACCAACAACATGAAATAACAAGAAACCAACTTTCAAATTTTTCTCAAATGCCAAATGCAGCTGAATCATTACAAATGACAATGAATCCATACCTTATGGGTGGATCATCAATAACATCAAACAAACCTTTAATGGTCTTCACAGGAAC